CCGTATATAGCACATAATCAAATTCATATATATTTACCATCGTAAACCTTAGCCATTAAATTGTTGGTGTTGGTCTTGGAGCGAAGTTGGTGAAAGATTACAGAATTATTTCTTGCTGTACGAAAACATAAACTCAAAGTTCCCCTTTTCCATGGTTTTAATTTCAGGATCGCATTTGAGTTGAGGAAGGTAAGGATGTATCCTCCGGTATAGCCGACTGGAATTACAATGTTTATGAAACCGTTACTTGTTGCTTACTCCATGTTACTTGAAATAGCAAAACTTTTATTATATACGGTACTATTTAGATATAGGCCTACTAAAATATTAAGATTGACATACTTATTCCATTGCACCGCAGTGCACCCAAGGACATTCGGGCAAGTGTATGTTCTTTGTTATTTTCTTGTGAGAAGTCCATGCGTACGACAGGCAGGTATTTCTTCACATTCAACACACCCTCATCGTATAACCAACTAACAGAAAAAATCAAGGTAAGTCATAAATTCAGGATTATGAAATCTAAAATGCGGTACCTCCAATTCACTGTCACAGTCAGCAGCAGCATAAGCATTATTAGCACTGAATTATCACTACATTGGCACGATCATGCAGCATCACCACCGCTGAAACAAAAGCATATAGCAATACTTCAAAATTCTCATCAACAGGGGAGCAGCACTTGTATAAAGTAATTAGCAACAGCAGCTAGCAGCACAGCATCAACATTATAAGCATCAGTTACTATGTTCAAAAACAGCAGCAATCATTATACTATCATCGTTTACATCACCTTATTTTATTATTATTATCACCATCACCACCAACACCATCATCAAAGTGGCGTACATAACACCTATGGCCTCTCGTTTGACGAAGTCCCGGGCCCCCAGTCCCAAAGCGCCCCGGTGGGCCATCCTACTAATAAACAACACTCTTCATAGCCATAGCCTGGAAAATATGGTCCAGTAGAAGACCTGAAAATAGTAAATTTAAACTTTGTAAATATTTCTTTAAAACAATATCAATTCCCGACGCAAGTTGTTCCACAGCCCTCCATTACAAGCTTTAAATTTACTCCGAAATAATGAAGTAAAAGAGCTACTAGAATTCACAGCGAATTAATAATAAAAGAACACTTGTTTGATACTCCACAGTAAGGGGCCCCTCGTAATCGACTGATAAAATGCATGAGCACTTTCTCGCCACCGGGTCCCATGACTCGTCCTTACGCCACTGCATCATCATCATTATTGCTCTGGAGGCATAAAGAACAATATTAATAACTTACCTATATTTATTAGCATCACAATTGTTTGTCATATTGGCAGATCTCATAGTTTGTCCTCTTGGAGAAGTGAATTTAGTTCCGATGCCAAAACTACAAACAATTTTGATAATAATAACAATAATATTTTTAAAAAATGATAGTTTTAGTAATAGTAGTAGTAGTAGTAGTAGTAGCAGCAGCAACAACGGGCGGCAGCAGTAGTAGTAGTATTAGTAATAATAACATTAATTATAATTATAAAAATATTTTAATAATATAATTTAAATACTATTTACCTTAATAATAATAAATTAATAATTAGTGATAACAATATTTTTTTGTGAGTGAAAGAGCAAGCGAGTAACCACCTACCTAATGGGAGCCTGCCAACACCAGTATTTGATGGCTTGTTCGCAGTAATCAGCATGATCTACAAGGAACTTCAGAATATCTCAAGTCATATCGCGGTACTGCAATTTGTATATCGTCGGACCCCAGTCGGCAGATCTTACTTCAGACTTATCCTCAAAGTTGTGTTCAACTATTGTTAAAATTTTGTCATTCCTTTAAAAATAATCAGCTTAAAATATTAGCATCGAGCTTGTAATTGTTATAGTTTAATAGTTATTGTATTGTCGACGGATTGCAAGTTGGTTCATACTATGTTTCCATTTTATAAGTCAGGCTCAGGAAGAAAATGTTGTACATCTGGATGACACGACACAAACAAGTGTATTTGACAAAAAAACTTGGGAACGGTTAATGTGAGACAGATTTTTGAATATTTAAAAAGGCAAGCCTTTTAAGGTTTCCGCAGGACAGAATTCTAAAACCAGAGATACAATAGAGACTAGAACTTCGGGTAAAAATTCTAAATTTTAATCGTTGCTTAAGAACATGCTTTGGTGGCGTGGTTTTTAGTGTTATAGGCCTAAATAGAATAATCGGTAATTAAATTAATAAATTAAAATTTTAAATATAACAAGATTTATTTGATTGGACAATTGTGGATTTAGTGATTCAGTAATATAATATATCTATTAATTGATTGATTAAATGATTGATTGATTAATTAATTACAGTAGTTAATTAATTTATTCATTCATTGTTTCATTGAATAATTAATTTATTTATTCATTGATTTATTGATTCATTGACTGAACAATCCAGTTCTCAGGCAAAGAACAATTGATTTTTAGACATTACCTGAAGTTGCACAGTACATTAACTGGAGGAAACTTTCCAACACCATCGATATCAATTCTTTTTAAACCTGATATTCGATCACCAGAAAAATAGTACTCTCCGCAAGTTCTCATGAAGATTGCTGTAACATTAATAAACTCGTATGAAATGAAGAAATGTTACGATTTTTCTATAAAAACGTCTCAAATAAAATTAAAGTGAATGCATTTATAAATGAACAATTACACATAACAAAAAGCTGCTTTTCTCGTCGATCTACAAATCATTTCTTTGAGAAAAAAAACCCAAGTTATTATTTAAAATATAGGGAGAATGATTGATTAGATCGATATTCCTGTTAACTAAAACATATTTGTGCGTCGAAGTGTCTAGCTGACAATTGTAATTAGTACAATTGTAGACACTTTGACGGATCTATTAATTACAGTATACAACTGTAAAACACATATAGGGCGTCGTACAAGGCATGCATATTACAAACTAAGTAATTCATAGAATTATTGTTAATAAAATTTGATGATTTGTTCGGAGTATTTTTTTTCTACATCTCTTTTTTTATGTATACATTTTATGTAGGTCTACAATGACATTATATAAATTTGGTTTACAATTAATATATATTTTAAATATATTTTACTAGATCTTATGGAAATTGAAAACACATGGTAAATAGGATTTTGAAAGAAGTTTTTTGAATTTAAAATACTCTTTTATTTATTGATTCTATTTCCTATTTTTTTGTAATTCCAAGAAATAGTGTTAATTAATTAAATTTGATAAATTGTTTCTTCATATTTAATTTTTGTAAATGTGATTCACTCGTGTTGCGGAAACATATTGGTTTTGATTTTTTTTTTAAGTGGGAATAACGTAACGTAAAATTGTTATTTGAAAAAAAATTATATTATGAGAAACAAATAGATAAATAATAAAAACAAATAGAAACATGCAATAATCATATCAAACATAGCTCATCAACGAAATGTGCCTTTATTTTAGTTGTATGTGAAAGAAATGTCTCTGGCTGGATACGGACCTGCAACATTTTGCTATCAAGGCGAGTGTCATACCCATTAGAGCACAGAGACCTATAAAATATAGGCGAAGATCTAACCTCCATGGGAATGTATTCTTTGTGTCTTTGGCAGGCAAAATTTACTTACGAAAATGGCAGGTAGGTCCCGAATACCCTGTTCCCGAGCAATCGTATCGTACGCCTTCTTCTTTGCTATTGTACACACCTTTATTTTCACAGGCTAGGTCAGACGTAAGGCAAGGATCCGTAACTTGGCATGATCCGATCGTAACTCCATTCACCATGTTTGTATTCGTAATCTCGTTTGGATAAATTATAGCAGCCTGAAACGTGATTTCTTGCATGCAGCCTTCAAAACCTATATAAATTCATTACAATTATTGTCAAATTTATTAATTAAATTCTAAATGGTAAATTTAAAAAATAAACATTATATATTTAAACTCTGGAATTTATTCCTTGTTAAAATGAGGCTCGTAAAAGTGGTGTGAATAATATACCGGTATAGTAACGTTTACTTCATCTGACTAAACACTTTTAAAAGAAGGTACTTTTTGTGTTGAGTTAACAAATACTTTGGGTTGAGTTAGCAAGTATTGTCCTACCCAATATTAATAGACACATAAATACTGGCCTTACATCTTATATACCCTTACATCATCTTAAAAACCACATAAATAAGCAAAGACTGTGTTTATTTTTATTGTAAGTAGACGCTATTTGATCCATAGAGTACTACCGTGTTTCGTGATACTACTCCGTTGCTATCTTTGCAAAATGAGTTCAACCGGACGCCATTTTCTCTACTGACAAACAATTGATCCCAATATGTCTATGTCTATTTCTAACGTAATTATTAAGATGTTGTATCTTTTCTTTGTAAATTTTAATTGCTGAATAAATGTGTGTTCAATAATTAATATAGTGCGAGCTTTTGTGTTTTAGTATATTTTGATGGTAAAATATTTGATTTTAAAATTCCAGAAAGCATATGAAGTCATTCAGGCGTAATGAACGGTAACCAACGTATGGTTGGCGACAGAGGGTGCCACCTGGCGTTGTGACTACATGACTGTGGTACTCTATAAGAAAAGAAATTGTTTTAAACAGGGAACAGTGAAATTTCCGTTTTCCAGATTTTAGTAGTAGGGCATTCCACTAAGCACAACCCCTTAAATATTTTTGCTAAATATTTAATTAATTATACTTCTAATTTTTATAATAGAATTATATTTATGAAACATAAACGAACCTTGACCTGTGTTAGTCCAACCTCCACCGAGATAGAGGTCACTGGTGGGGGTCAATGTGTGGTTTGTAATCTGAAAGCTTGTCTTCGCTGCATCCACTGTTGAAGTTGCAGAACTTTAGTAAAGTAAGAGTAGACAATATAATATTATACTCTGCTGTATGCACATGTATACAAAATTCATCCCATCGATGGTTACACATAATTGTGTTAGTATACTGTACTAGTAACTGACGAAACTGTTAAAAAGTTTCAAAATATAAATGAATAATACTTGTGTTTTAATTTATTTATTATATCACTGTAATATAGATATAATCTTCTTTGGTAATTTTTGTTATATTTACCTTGGCCTATCATTTAACAGTCGTTTTACCACTCCAGTTATTACACTTATTGAGTCTTTAGAAAGTCACCAACGGAACCAGAACCACACTTATAGTTCATGATTAATAAACGAATGTGCAGTACTGCTGTTTGACGTAAAACAAAGTTAAGCAAATTATTTGCATACCCTTCCATAATTGAAAATTCCACTGTGTGTCACATGGTATTATTCAAGTGTTCTCCAACAACCATGGTGTATGTAATAAGGTCATTTTCTTTTCCTAATTCCAATACGCCTTGCACTCTGTTGTCAAGCAAGTGAAGCTGTACAATTGTGCACAATGTGAATTTAAAATGACAGTACAATTTATATCTCGCTATAACTATAATATATCCATTGATATATTAATGATATACTATTATTAACAGAAGTCATTATAGTAATCATATCATTGACCTACACTGATTTTTCCCCCAATGTCATTCTCATCTTGAATCGCAACCAGAAGGAGGATAGCGTTGCGCTGCACAGTTTTCAGTTGAAATCTATTAAGAACATTGACAATGATTAACTACTTTTGTTATCGTGACAAGGAGAATAGTTCGTACAAGCAAAGCGGTACCATTATACAACTAACTAAAAACCATGATACAACGTAGTACAATGATACAATGAACATACCAATGAAGAGCCATTGTAGAAAAGCCAACTATGTACAGTGCCATGGTACAACCGACAACCAATAAAGGAACAATGGTACAAGCGTATAAAATTAGGTACCATGTTGGCTTAGCAATAAATCATGGTACAACTAATGAAGCAAGCGCAGTGGTAACCGGTACCAAACAATACCAATACAACCAACAACCAATTTTACCTCTGAAGTCAATGTGCAAAGTACAATATTGGCAGTCAATTAGGTACCAAATATAACCAACAACCGAGATGCACTAAAGAAACATGATAGTATGAACCTTGTTTGCAATATGCATTTTGTAAAACGTGTTATATGCATTCAGATCATCAAAGGAGAAGAGATTGCTTGTTTAAAATGAGATAGGGCCTATTTGTACCAACCTTAGATTAAGGTTGCCATCGTTCCATCCTTTTAGAATAAGTTGCGATCGTGAAGTGGGGAAGATAATTGAAGAATGTCCGAGATCCCTGCATCCATACTCAGGCTTGCTATCTTCATCCTTCCCTACGTACTTGACTAACGGTCGACTTAAAGTGAGCTCCTCCAGAATGTTAGTTACTCCAAAACTCACGAGCTTCAGGCATCCAATAAAATTACTGCCTAACATTAATCCTATGTGAAAAAGAAAGTTGCATCCACAAAAGCGCAAGTAATAAACAATGTTTGTGGACACACCCACCCATTCAAAAAGTTGACTAAGCAGCGGAATTAGTTTAATATAAGCTTATTATCAAAAGAGAAACACTTTTGGCTAATGCAGGGTGTTTTTCATACATAGCTCTCACAAGTACTGTGGCTTATTCAACGTAAATGGTGCATCACAGGCGTTATAAATATTATATCAAATATTATAAATATCATTTGATTTTAATGAAAAACACTAAACCTATTAAACAAGCAAGTAGGTCCTACTTACATAGCACTTGAGGACTGGTCCTCCTCCAACGTACACCGTCTCACCAAGGTTCAGATAATTTAACTGGGGAAGAGTGTTGTCTATCGTGTACCAAACACCATCGATTGATCGAGTGAGGCTAGCAGTAACTTGTGTTGCTTCATGTTGTAATTTAACTTCATACCAACTGCATAATTACAAATGATTGGTCAGTTCACATTGAAGAGATTTCACATGACTTTTTTATAATATCGATGGTAATGGCTACGATGAAAATGAGAATAATGGTCCAGCGGATAGCTATATAAAATAACACAAGAATGGTAAACGTGATGATAAGGACGAAGTTTATTACAATAGCGACAGCGACGATGATAATGATGATGAGGAGAATGATAATGACGATGAGAATAGTGGTCCAGCGGAGCTATATAAAATAACACAAGGATGGTAAACTTGATGATAAGGACGAAGTTTATTACAATAGCGACAGCGACGATGATAATGATAATGACGATCATAATGAATATGATGTAGATTAGTTATGATATTCGAGATTGCACGAGGTCGTCAAATATAAATACATTTTTTAACTGAAATAAAATTGAAATATTTAAAGGAAATGTTATAATTGTACTTGAATATTATATTCATTTACAATATATAATATTAGTTTTAAATCAGTTAATACTAGACCTATTGGTTAGAAATTGTACTACACATGAATAACCTGTAAACAATTATTCATTTTTCATTTTCCGTTTCATGGTATTTTAAACTTTTACTTCTTTCAGCAAGCCTGAGACTGTGAGATGCAATATACAACGTAAACGACATGAAGCGCATATGAATTTAATCAAAAAGTATTGCTCTGACCTGTTGCCATTGACGTTAGTCTCATTAAAGTGATAATTAAGAGCCTTGTAGCCAAAATTAATAGAAGCCATCAATTCTCCATCAACTATTTCAATTGCAACATAGTTGATCCCTGGGGAGAAACTATGACCATAAACCAACACTCCAGATCTTTGTTGGCGTTCCATTAAAGGAAGTTGGGAATAAAATTGTTATTATTATCATTGATTGTTGTTGTTGCTGTTGTTGCTACCGTTGTTGTTGTTATTATTAGTAATATTCAGGATTTTAATTGATGAAGCAGTTGAAAGCTCACCTTAAAATTTATGTGCACGTACACACTAGGTGAGTAAGTATTCTCAGATTTGGTGTTAACATTATACTCAAGATACTCCTCCCCTTGTAGGGTAATAACTACGTCATCTGAATGAAAATAAAAAATATTACAGACTATTGGAATTTGTCGTAAATATCATTCAGATTGTATTTAAAATGCTGCTGTTAATCTGGCACACACACACTGCGCTCATCATCGGTCACCAGCCCTCAGTGGACAAATGTATCTACTCGGCTCTTTTAGAGCGATGACGTCTGCTGGGAGTCAGTAGCAGTGAGAACGTGTCACCGTCGGTGAAAAATCCGTCGCGCGCGCCTAGCAATGATTTGCATCCTACATAAAAAAAAAAGGAAGAAAATGTATAGGCCTAACAATAATGTGACCTACCAGGAGTGTCACAGTTCCAGCCAATGAATCCAGTGTGGCTGCAATCACATATTGTGTTCGTGTACTGATTTACACATTTCCCACCATTTCTACAAGCATTCTCCATATCACATTTATTAACGCAACCTTCTTGCACCAAATCTGTAAGAAATAATAGTAAAAATCCAAATTTTCATATATTTCTAAACAGTAATTCAGTATTCTATAATTAATGGCAATTGGATAGCAACAGATAGCTAATTATAGGCCTAACCCTTTTTTAAATAGGCCTATATGTTATTAATTATTGAATATCATTTAAAAGAATCGGTTGTAATTTTTTTTTTAATGGCTCTCTGACTCCTGTCTTATTGTTTGAGTGACTACAAAGGAAATAAGCATGCCGACGTTTAATTCTCAGCAAATGCAAAACGTTACTATAACGTTATGTGATTATGTATGTGAGAAATTAACTTTGACACAACGTTCAAGCAACATTTAAACGTTATTTAGGTGTAAAATTACGTAGGCCTACTGTATACGCAGCACATAAATGGAAACGTGAGACGTCCCTTCCCTCCGTGAGTAGGAGTTGCCAATTAGGAATTTTTCCTTGGGCAAGCAAAGGCACTCCTGAAGCCTCCCTACGAGGGTTACGGTTATCATTATTTTTTTTTTTATTCGTAGTTAAGATTCAACTGTTAATAACCCTCTCGACTTCTGTTTTGCGCCATGAGAATATTTTATGATTGCTGGCGCATTGTACAACATCATCATCATCATCATCATCATCATCATCATCATCATCATCATCATCATCATCATCATTATTATTATTATTATTATTATTATTATTATTATTATTATTATTATTATTTTAATTATTATTATTATCATTATCATTACTATTAACTTGAAATTGTTAGCTGGGTTGATTTTGTGTATGTTTATTTTTTATCCCATTTTAGGCCTAAGAGTCGAAGTTAGTATATGTAAAACAAAAAAAAAATATTAGTATTCCTAAATTTAGCATTTTCATTATTAATCAATTGATGAATATTGTACTCACTTGTACTGTTGTACATGTTAAACATTGTAAAGGATTCAGAGATGAGAAATTCCGGAGTTTGAAAACATCCAACGAACTGGGTAAAATTTCTATTTGCTGGAGTTTTCATGTTTTGCCACAAACCTTAAAACAATAGTAATGGTAATGTAATTAATAAGCAACGAAGAAGCAGTTTAAAAACAAATTATAATGCAATCAAAATGCTCAACTAAATTCGCCTAGGGACAATAAATATTTAAGTGATTAAATTGAAATACATTTTGACCATACAGTAAATAAAACAAGTCGAGGAAGTTGGAAGTGGAAGGAGGCTATTACTGTTATCAATTAGTAATAATTAGCGAATAAAAATGTCTGTGGTTAGAGTCTTACTCATTGGTACCAACAAGTACATTGCAACACTACCTTGCGATCAACTACAGGAAGACAGTTATATTCAACCAGATAGTTGATGAGCCTCAACCAGGTAGTTGATGAGTCAGTGTGACTATCTTCTTTGATTTGGTAGGCTCCTAACATTCGGTCCCACATTATTTAAATAGAGGAGTGATTAGAAGGAGATAAGAAGAATGATTAGAACAGAGAAGAGTTATAACAGTAAAAAACTATATAGAAAATGATTAGATCAAGAAGAGAGACTTCACACACTTATGTATAATGTATACAATTGATAGGGATTTGAATAAAGGGACACTGAACACCTAACGCAGGCCCGTATTGTTGGGGGGGGTGGTTAAGGGGGTTACGACGAACCACCCGAAAATGGAGATGGTCCGCATTTAAAAAAGAAAAATTTTTATTCGGAGATATATTTAAAATGTTCTCCCGAGTATCGGAGATCATACAAGCCAAATGGTCCACTTTCCACTGAAACAAACCTTCCACAAATTAAGTGACGCTACGGGCCTGTAACTCAAACATGAAGGTTTAAGTAGGTGGGTGATCAGCCACGACGAGGCAGAGTTTAACCAAGGTCTTCAGCACAAAGAAGCAGGAACAAATCCTCCCAGCCAACCACTCCACCAATAGATGGTAATTTATTTATGATTTTTTTTTGTCATTTATCATCTTACCTCCAATAAATATATATGATGACATAGGTAGTTTGTCAAAGGTTTGTAGAGCGCCACCGACGTCGTAAGCGTCCAAGTATTTAACTGGTGCCGTCTGGTTGTCAACAATGAAGTAGAGAAGTCCATTAGACTTTCTTTCGTATGTGACAGTATGCCAAATATCGTCATTTACATTTACCTAAATATATACTTTAACAAAAAAAATATTAAATTCTGTACAATTTTGTAAATGGTACTATATTTCTAGGATGAAAGTTTATCATGGTCCAGGTCTGATCCTATATGCCCCGATAAACACCCGGCCCGTGGGCAAACTCCGGCCTGCCAAAGATTTTGATCCGACCCGCGCAACATTGCTAACAAATAAATAACTTTCGTCCGATTTTCAATACTTACAGAAACGTTTTTCTGTTGAAACACGACTACCTACTTTGGCATTATTAACACGAGCCTGGCTTTTTCTTAGTGTAGCTCACTGTATCTATCTAGTGTCTTGCCATGGGGAGAGGAGACGGGTTGGTAATTCTTGTCCTAATTGGGGAGAGGGCGACTGATGGGGACAAATGATTAAGTGGGGGAATCACTGGTATAATGCATGTACGTCTAACCATTGGCGGCGACAGCAACGGATCCATGGAGCAGGCTTGTGAACATGTCATTCTGTTGAAAATACTGCTTTAATGTGTCTTCTGAATGTGCCATTTCCGGGAATCTGAGGTGTTTATTTGAAAATTTGCTCACCTCAGCCTCAATAGTGGTTGAGCTGATGTTAAAGTAGGGCTTTTTTAGGGGAATCTGACTACTCTTCGGGAATATTCTGGCGCTGCCATTATTTAACTACTTAGTACATAAGAGTATTTTTTTCTTTGAAAATTTCTAGTGGTAGAAGAGCAGGAGATTTGATGCGTTCCCTCATTTTTGCAAACCTTTTTACAAAACAAGGCCTATCATAGATGATGTTGAAAAACAAATGCTAATAATAGGCCTATTAGGAAGACTTGTAAGCTTACAAAGTGGGTAGAGCTGACATTGAAGGAATTGAAAGTACACAATTTATGTCGGTACGCCGGTGGTCTCAACAGATTGATTAGATTGATGGAAATTGGACCCAGCTTAAAAATATTGAATACCAGGGCTATATTATAGTATAAATATGCGTATAATGTTTCTGTTATTGCTTTTATAGTGGTAGGCCTAGTTGACTATTCATCTGATTAAAATGTGAAAATCCTGTTGTCCTATCCATCTTAAAATTGGATGTGGTACATTTCTATAACATCGGGGAAAGCCAACATTGACGCTCACCTTTCCTCAAATTGATTGTACAAATGAGTAATCCTTAATTCGCTGTTCACCAACTCAATCCAGAGGGCGTATTTTGGATTTGTAAGGTCGCGATATTCCTGGTAATAAAGTAGAGCGTCACCTTGGACTGTCTTGAATCGAAGCCTCGCACCATGTTCGTCCACCTGAATCCATGGCACAGAATATTGTGCGAAAGATGAACCAGGATTTATGAAAGTATATTTTTTATTTTGTTGACAATACACAAAGGAGGCGAAGATTAAAACCAATATAGGCCTACTGCTTATCCATAGTGATTTTTTATTCATGCTGGTGATTATCTGTATAGGAAAGATACACGCATTTTAGAAACTGATATTTTACCATAGATAAAAATCAATCATTACTTTCATTAACCTTAGAGATGATATACAATAGGCCTATGTCCCCGGCATGGGGCGGATCCATAATTTTTCAAACGGGGGTTGGGGAACAACATTTTCAGAATAGATAAGTGAGTAGCGCTAATTTCAATTATGCACTGAAATTATAACATTTAGTGGCAAAACTGGGGGCACGTTCCCCCATGTTCCCTACTGGATCTGCGCCTGCCGACTTTAATCTTAGATAAAAGAAGAATAATAGCTTTCAAAAGTTCTTGTGGCAAATGACCATGTTTAAACATCAAATTAAAGCAAAGGCTAAATAGAAAATTAATTAGTCTATTACTGGCATAGACAAGATGTTATTTTAATTGATTGAGAGATAATCAGTTTTACAATGTTTTATATAAAATGCAGTAGTTAATACTAGCACAATTGGCACTCTCCTGTATCAGTGATGCTTTGGATTTCGCTTAAATAAATATCAAGTAACATCAATTCAACGATTCTGTCTTCAACACGATGGACACAACAAATCTGATCTATAATATTCTTTGTGCAACTGGCTGTTCGACTAATGGCTTTGCGATATTCATTCTATTTTAATTGCGGAATCAGTTCAGTTCAACACATCTTCTGATTTCAAATCAGTGTATCACTAAACTTTTTTCCGTTGATGTGCCATTTTCTCAATCCAGACTTACTGACTCGGGTTCCAGAACCAAATGCTGAGGCAGAATTTCTTTGTAAGTTCTGGTTAAGCAAGAACATGTTCTGGTCAAATACATGCAACAACGGCTAATCTTGTGGTACTTACAATCGATCGTTACTTAGCTGTAATGTATCCACTGAAGTGCAATGTATACTAGGAAAAGTTTAGCATAAAAGTATTTCTTTTGCTGATTCCCTGGACATGTGGTTTTGGGTTTATTACCCCCTGGGTGATGTTACACAGTGTATCACAGGGTATCACAAAGCATTTGCACTGATGTGTGGTGGCTACATCCTTGTTATTGCTATTAGTTCAATGTTGTTTATTTATTTCAACATTTTTCGTACACACCGAAAACGAGTTGGAGATGGTTCACCTGCAGAGAGTTTTAACAGTGCGGTCAGACGTTTCAATATCGTTAAGACAACGATGATAGTTTTTGTGACATACATTATTTGTTGGACTCGGAACGAAATAGCTTTTTTCAACTTCTCATTCGGTGGCAAGTTGTACGTCATTAGAACATTTTACCACATTACAGTAGCAATGGTTTTGTGTAATGCTTGTATAAACCCAATAATATACACATTCAAATATAATGACTTTAAAGTAGGTATGCAAGAAACTCTGCCATGTCTTATATATTTATGTATTCTGCCATGTCTTCTGCCCCATTACAAAATTCTAGTCTGCCAGGAACTGTGTCTGCAAATGTTGTGCCATAATTCTTGATATCTTGTTAGCAGTTATAGGAGTTGTGAAATTACATGATTCTTATCGCGTTACCTTATATATTTCTGGCTATAAATCAATAAAACCGAATAAAAGGGAAACCAATTGTCGGAAAATATCATAGATACAATTCTTCAACTTATCCAGAACATATCGTCTAGAAATGATCTCTTCGACCAAAGCCATAAAAGTGTTCGAAGTGTTTAATTTCCATCTACATGAATATATTTCTTTTTAATATAATACGTTGAATATTTGCACACATCATACCTATGTGATATTTTTTCAATACACTAGTAGCGTACACAATATTCCAACCAGAAGTTACCAAAATTATTTTTTAGTTTGGCTAGATGTAAACTTGAAATATAGGCCTACAAACGCTATTATATACTATGGAAGTTTGCTATGGAACAGTTTACCATATGAATTAAGACAACATTATAACAATTTTAAATCTGCCCTTAAATTGCATCTTATATATCGATATTGAGTGTTGTTTAAAAATATAGATATGCTTTTAGTAAAGAGTAGTTAATTTTTTTTTATTGTAATGCTTTAATGTACCGTAGGGCCCCTCGGAAGAGCAGTGATTTAACTGAGAGGGCTACCCTACTGCAAGAAAACGTAATAAATAAATAAATAAATAAATAAATAAACATAGGCCTAGGTATTAACTTGGCATCAATGTTTGTTTGTCTTTAAATAAACCATCTTGAACATTAAATCTTCAAACAATTAAAAATACTCAAACCTGATCTGTTTAGTAACAACAAGTGGCATAATTGATGAACTACAGGAATTTATAAACGTCCGCAAAGTTATTATTTCTACCTGTTACGGACATTAATGAACCAGCTTACTACATTACAGTAACATAGTATAATCACCATAGGAATATTATTAGTAATACCTTATAATCAACCAGTCTAGATGATCTACAGACCCACACTCCAGTGAAGGCTACAGCAATTTGCAGATATTTATTTATTTATTTATTCGACTTTACACAGGCAAAAATACAATAAAATATCAATGAAATAAAAGATTGCTGGTGACGGGAAAAGGCCAACAGGTGGACAAATTACACCTCTGATATCGGCCGATCCCGAAAAGTTCCAACAAATCTGGCAGAGGATCCAGACTAAGGACCTCCTATAGGGCCTTGGTTCAGCGACACTGAGAAAACCACAGATGGTTCAAGGGGAAGATTGCATTGTTTAGTATAGTATAGTAAAAATTGTGATCTATATTAGATCACAATAATTAATAAAAATTAATAATTAATTACAATATCCTATTTTTTAGTCCGACTACCTCAAGTTGGTCCAACGACAGAGTCTATGCTTCTTGTCCGATGTGGAGAAATTTCTAGCTGAGACCCCTCCTGCAGGTACCACCATTGACCCGATCCACACCATTTTTGGGCTCTCTGTCTTTACTTTTAATGTGCATTATACATATTGGCCTAATAATGATTATACCTGCTCTTGAAGGCCGGTGTCAATTGTTTTCACGTAATAGAATAGAAGCCGGGTTCGCAGGTGCAATGTAAGGACTATAATAGTTCTACGGTCTCCCAGTAAATCATGTTCAGCTAGATAGCTATGTCCAACGCAATATTTTCATGACAGTTATTTTCTAACAGTACGATAGCAAAATACGTCAAAAAATTCGTACAATGCATAGACATATGTATTGTGTTATAGCGGAAATTGGTGGGCATTTACCTCTGAACTAGGTTCTGGCTAAAATGAATAGGGCTTGAATGAATTATGGCGGAAATGTATCAAAAACGTGACGAAGAATAGGTAGTATTAGGATGTTTTCTTCATTGTATGAAAGCAAAACACGTAAAAAAATTCGTACAATGCAATAGATATATGTATTGTGTTATAGCGGAAATTATGGGCATTTACCTCTGGACTAGGTTCCGGCTAAAATGAATAGGGCGTGAATAAATTTACGTAGTAACAGGATGTTTAATCATTTCTTGCTCAATACACCGAATTACATTTGTTCAATTCGTAAAAGCAACTGAAGCATATAATTTCGATTGTAGTTGTTTAGTGCACACTGCCTATGAATCATGGAAGCTTACCACTGTGGACTTTACTCACTTTATGTTTGCTAACTGTTGTTTGATAAAAACGACTGTTATTATTTCCATTGAAAATCGAATAATTCAAGTATATATATTAAGATCTTTCCAATGTGCGTTAAGAATACTTCATTATATCGACTGGTCGTTCTTCGTTAAACCACGCCCACCTGCGCAACGGTTAAATCCTACTCAACGAAGACGACCAGTCGAATAGAAAACTTATAAATACTCGACAAAACAAAATGGCTGTATAGTTACCGCGATACACGTTGCGTAATCAAGATTGCTTTAACTTGTGGTAGTATGGGTTTTTCGTAAAAAAATATTTTCATTCAGTTTTTGAATTCTGTTAGCCTCCAATTATTTTTTTGACTCCATGTGGGTAAATATTATAATTTTTATTTTATAAAATTTAATCTAAGTTATATTAACGCAAATGTTATTTATAAACTCACCAATCAGCCATGTTTTTTTTTTGTTTTTTTTTTTTGGTCACGTGGATAACTTGACGCTGATTAATGCACTCTGGTTTACCTTAATTTTCGTTGTCAACGAAGTCTATTTAACTAACCAGTCGAATGAAAATAATACTCAACGAAAATTCGTACGGTACTCAACAAAATGAACCAGTCGAATAAGCCCACTGAGTTACACGATAGCACGATTAAGACTGTTTTTTGATAAGCAATCATTCTTTGAAAATTCAATTAAAATTGAAATTATTATAAAAGCATGGAAACCGAAATGGCGCGTTGTCGTACTACACGGTTTATTCGTAGCTTCCTTCCTGAAAAGTAACCTATTAGACAATTACTCTAAGTAGTTTAATATTACAATATTCCACTGGATAACCCATTTAAAACTATTTTGTGTGTCGAGGCGAGTGGTAGAAATTTTAGTCTTCTCCTCCTGTTATAATCGAGTAAATTAGAACGTTCTTGTCCAGGGAGTGTGGTTGAAGGGAGAAACACCTATATGCTGGTGTTGAATTCTATGGATTTAGGTTCAGGATTGAAAATGCAGTTAATCGCCACTAATTAGATATAAAACAGATAAGCTGTTTCATACTCTTTTGAATCGTGATTGGGACATCAGTCCTGATGATGACATAATTAATGTCTAAATATTGAATCCCAACACAATGGCCTGTATTTCAATACTTGGAGTATGTATTATACTTTCCTATTTGTATTATTGTTGAAATTCCTGACAACCTGACAAACGACGATTGTTCATTTAAGCTGGGTTATAGTTTATTCAATATCTAATTCCTTTTAGATTATCCACCGGTCCATGGCATTCAATAGAATATAAACCTCGTTGCTCAGGTTGGGGTAACAACCTTAAAAGGCGCTGGTAACGGCAGAACTGAAACAGAAACGACATAATTATTTCGAATTGTAGCGATCTATAAAACTTGTTTTTTATCGCATTGGTAAGTTTCAACGTGTAAAAGTTTGATATTAGACTATGATTCCAAATAAATTTTGAAATGAAGGTAAAAGATGCCTTTTACATAGGGGACTACTTGATCATTAATTTTATATCTAGGCCTACAATAGTATAATCCGAGATACTGCCGATATCACCCTTGACGGTGAGGCCTTGTAAAAACGCTTAAACAAACCTACTAAATATGAATATACAACGTGTCTTAATGTGACGGTACATGAAACCGAATTCTAGAGTCAAAAAAGACGGTTCAACACTTGAATATCGTTCTGGAATACTAGTCATCTAATCAGCTGTAGGCCAACCTTTGTAAATAGATATTCATGTGGGCATTTTTTTGTTGGATTAATTTCATTGATAGTATCATTAAAAAATATTTTAGCTCAAATGTTATATAGGCCTAACGTTAATTTGTTTAATTTCTATATAATATTATAGTGTGGAAATGCCAGTCATGTTCAAGTTGACGTATACTCGTGCACTATGCGTTGTGACGTTTATAATTGCATTTCAAATTACCAAAGCTGCAAAATGTACGATTAAAGACAATGTCTGCGATTGTAATAGTATTACAGATATTCACGACTTGCAGTTACATTGCAATGGAACAACAACTTTGTTGCTGAGCAATAATCAACTGTCGGAGTGTGATTGGCCAAATGGATTAAATCTGGTAAACTTTACTGGAATAACTAATGTGACAATATCAGAAAATAGACTTCAAACGATACCGATTGAATTCTTACCTGCTGATCTAGAAGTACTAGTATTATCTAACAACAGAATTAGATATATCCCAGGAAATCAACTATCAAGACTAAAGAAATTAAATGCTCTCGATATTTCAAACAATAACATATTATGCGTTCACAATGACGCATTTGTTGGACTTCGTAAATTAGAAAAACTCAGCTTGAGCGGCAACAATCTTAATAACTTCGAAAACATTATTACTACGCTAAGGAACGTACCATCGTTGAAAATTCTGGATTTATCTGAGAATCGTTTCGAAAATGTCTTCGTACCGGAGGTCATGAAAAGTCTTCAAACCTTAAATCTAGCGAACAATATCATATCTGTTGTACAAATTAGCAGTTGTACCTATAGGTTACCGAACCTTACAATGATAAACTTGGAAAACAATAAGTTGACGTGGTTTCCGAAATCTATTACATATTCACTCACTGACACGAAAATTCTGCTATCGAATAATCCGCTCCGATGTAGTTGTGATGTATTGCTTCCATTACAAAACTTCAAAGGTTTGACGTGTGTCGACGAAAATGGCAAAAAGTACAATATGAACTATAATTTAGTATCAGGATGTAGTGTTGTTGCCATGGACACACGTGATACCACAGGATCTGAAGGCTTAATCATAAAATCTGGGAGCTTCGTCAACAATCGAAAGTGTTCTGACAAATTCGACTGCAGTAGATTTGCAGATTCAACAACAAAAAATGAATGTGACGAGACAACAGAAATTTGTTGGGATCTACCCGAAGATGTCCGTGAGGAAATAAGAGATTTGGCAATAGTGAATGAGCGTGGTTACCTGAACTTGACTATGGCTGGACATTTCAACCTCTCTGGCACTTACTTTTACACAGAGTATCATACATGTTATGAGAAGCACCTGTATTCTATAGCTGGAAAGGTTACACACTCGATGAAGACTTTTAGTCCTCCACAAGGAAACTGTTCCAGAGATGGCTGCCCGGTAGCGAGTACACCTATATCGTGCATTCCTGATGATAATGATCGTCTGGCTGGCTGGAAGATTACTTTAATAATAGTAATGTCATGCGTATTCTTTGTATCGGTAGTTGTGACGGTGATCAGGTGCAGAAAGAAATCAAAACCTGAATTTGAAAGAGATCAAGATAGAACTACCCGACGTGTTCCTCATGTTGTCATTGATGGGTATCTGACAAAAATAGCTGATGTATCTACACGAAAGTACCCAATCTATGATAGCATTATTCATGCAACAAATGCAGAAGCACAGGGGTACACATCTGTTTATTTGGACACATATGGATATATGATAATGAATTCCAGTCCTAAAAATCGCTGTACTTCAAATACTGTTGGATATTATCTTATCTGCCCTAAGAAATCAACTACGGAAATACTTGTTGATGCAGATGGATATTTAAGTGTAAATCAACCGGAAGTTTATAGTTCAGATGACGGACACACTTGTATAACTTTAAGAAAAGATCAAGGCAAATTAGGACAACTGGTAGCAGATCCAAACATGTACATGAAACTTGAAGCCAGGCCTCCTAATGATGGCTACGTTGAACTTTCTACCACTTGGAATCTCCTGAAATTCTGGCTGAATAAAGAAGAGGAGGTTCAAAATGCACGATGAGTAGGCCTACATTAATGACCAATGACAGTAGTCAAATTATTACACACCTTTACTTATTATGCCACGTGTTTCTGTGATTTGTCTAAGTTAAAATTCAAGTTCGATTTATTTTCGAATAAAATATGAAATTTGTTTCCAGTGTTTAAAACATATACTCATTTATTTGAGTTAGGCCTATATTTTATTCAATCTTCAATATTCTTTAAATGCGTACATAGCAGAAACAAGTCTGAATTGCGTATGGAAAGTAAAATATAAAAACTGTACAAAATTGAAAAACAAAAAATACAGAAATTGACATAACAAATTTAAGGAATATTGAGAAATCGTTGAAAATCAAAACATACATCTGGAGAAATGGAACTAATATCATATTACAGATCATAAAGTAATAGGCTCACTTTAATTAGACCAAAAATGTAAAAACAGATAGATAATTTTTATTTTAAAATATCAGATGGAATGAACAATAATATAACATTAATAATAATTAAACTGTATAAGAGAATTATTGAGCTAGGTTTTCCGACTGTCTGTCGTAAATTTGCCTTTCCGCCTATAAATATTATCTAAATGGTTTTCTAATTGATCAACCATAACATGACTCTCCGCAAGTCAAATAAATTGTTTTGCATAAATTTAATCGTTTCATTGACAATTTGTATTGCTTATATAATAATTACCTCGCTTCACGAAGTGGGGTCAGGGTACTGCAATGAGCTCCGTCTGTATGTCTGTCGGTGTGTCGTGGAATCCGTCGTGGTGTCGGTCTGTCTGTCTGTGAAGTTTGTGTTTGTCCTTCCGGGAGCATAACTGAAAACTACTGGACGATTTAACGTCAAACTTTAACACATTGACAATATTACGTGTATCTTGGTCCTCCCCGATTTTGGTCCTCATCAGAAGTGGGATGTAGATTTTAGAACGTTATTTATTAAAATAGATTTTTCGCAACTGACAGAGCCAACTCGAGCGGATCGTTAAACTGAGTCATTTGGCTAGACCATGCTGACTGGAGCGGATTGACCGCGGACCGCCTCGAGCGTACCGACCATGTGTCCAATTTTGGCCAGCGGACTGAAAGCAGCCCGGAAGGCATGTAAGTCGTACAATTAAAAAAAAAAAATAGGAAATATGAAAAAAAAAATTTATAAGATGCACAAATACTAGATAATCTGAGATTACAAACCCTCGAGCGGTAAATATCCACGTTTTGTGACAAGATAATCTATGGGGTTCAAATCTCACTCTAATTTTTTTATTATTATTATTAATTTGTTATTTTTATTATTTGTGCATATATATTAAAAATTAAGAACAAAAAATTGTGAAAAATAATGAAATAATAGGCCTAATAAGAATAATAATTTTTGAATGCTCCAGTATCTGTATCTGTAACTTTTAAGAAATAACAACAGTAATAATAATAATATAATAATATAATCGAATGTATGGGGTTCAAATTTTACACTTATTATTATTATTATTATTATTAGGCCTATTAATTATTATTTGTGCATCTTATCTTTCATATTTTTTTATGTTTAATATATATGTACAAATAACAAAAATAACAAAATAATTAAAGAAAAACAAAAAACAAAATAAAAAAGAATAAGATTTGCACCTCATACGTTCGATTACCTTTAAAACGTGCATCTTTACCGCGCGGCCACATTTCACCTGACATAGCCAGTAATATCATACCTCATAATACAAGAACAACCAGAAAATACAAAGATTCGGCGCGACAACAGCCGGGCGAGTGTTTGTAATCTCTGATTATCTTGTTTTGTATTGCAAATTATTGTATATTTTCATAAATGTATTTTGAATGTAATGAACCAGATATACTAAAGTAGCCTTTGCAGCATATAAGGATTTAAAATTAATGTAAAAGCAGCATTTTTATTATATTAATCTGTTTTATGTACCAATTAATGCTATATTAAACGAAACCGAATTAAATTGAGTTACAATTTGAATACAATGCAGAGCTGGAATTGTATGTAAGAAACAACATAAATTAAAATATATAATCTACTGTATACACTTTGAATTCTCTGTTTATGTTTGTGTAATTAAAAAGACAACATTAAATTTTAATATAGGGCCTACTACAAATATGTATATTCTTCTGTAATAAAAAAAATAGCTATCTTATAGTTTGTAATAAACTAGTATATGTTGCAATTAATTTTTTTTTAAATTGTTTATAGTAGAGTAATTTCATTTACAAGATTTTAAACTTAAAAAGCAGTTCTGTCTTACTTTTTACCGTTTTTCATCATTAAACCTACTTTTTATTGTAGCCTACATGTCTGCAAATATTAATATTTAATTATAATGTGTATATATACAATGTTGATGCGTATGTTTTTCAACCTCGGAGAATCTCTCGACAGTGGTTGTATTTGCTACTTACTGTGAATCCAACTCCGGCACAGAGCCGTATGCTGATTGTCGTTGATAGTCTGAACGGATCGTGATTAAAAACGATCCGTTGCACGAACGTCATGGCTTTACGTTCTTCATAGAAAGTATCTGTTGTTTTATGTATCATTTCGACACACTAATGAGAAGAAATAATTTACTCTAACAAACTGTTGACAGTTCACCTTATTTTTATTTATTATTCGTCACATCCTCTCGGTACTGGCGCTGCACTGTGGATGCCGTGGGTCCATATACGGGGCTTAGTCAAAATTTTGTAAGGGGCTATCTGTAAATACCAATAATGCCTAAAATATTATGTATAGGCATAGGCCTATATCGTTCGTTCGTTCATTGGCACAGGGACCAAGGACATTTATTTGTTCGTTTTACACAATGGCCTCTGGCCCATATAAATATAGGCTTACATAAATTTAAAGAGCGATATGATCATCTCTACGTTTAAATGATAAATATATAAATTTAGATAAACAATTAACAATATTTGGAGCACTGGTGGATATTAATTAATATCCACCAGTTTATTTATTAATTTAAATATAGACGAACTTAAACTAAAGTATGCAGGTATGAAAGTATTTCTAATACCTGAATAAATTGGGCAAATCAATGTAAAAATGGTATTCATCTTCAACTAAATTTAAGGAGCAAAGTTTGAATTTTCTATTATTTCGATCTGATTTAATCCATCTACCAGTTTCAATTTCAAGTTCGAGGATACCTAGACGAAGTTTAGTTAGAATCCGTCTATATTTCAATTCTTCAAGATTTAATAAATAGGTATCAGCATTATAATTGTTTTTAAATGTATTGTGGTATTTAAGCTTTGGATGTGAAGCGATTTTCCCTTGGAGTCGTTGACGTTCAATGTCGGTTAAACGTAAAGTTAATTCGAAAATAAATGACCTTGGCCGCCCCCCCCCCACCATAAAAAAGAATATGGAAAACAATTAAATTATATTCAAATTTAAGTCTGAGAGTGCCATTTCTGGCCACCTAGAGGTGCCATAATCACAATTTTTCTTACCTCAGCCCCTACCATGGTGGGCCTGAGGTAGTATAGACCGTCTATCTGTAAAGTCCCGCCACGGGCCCCCTCTATGTTTTTGATCCTCAATTTCTTGATCCGCCACTAGAGTGGAGTTGAATAATATTTCAACTTCCAGGGTCCTGGACGCAAAGTTCTCGGAACGCCGCTCCCAGCCGCGGGTGTGCGAAGCACAATTCAAATTTGTATGTTTGTTTTGTATGTGAATTTGCGAGACAAATTTCACAGTATTTCTTGACTGAGACGTCAATGGGAGCTGTAAATTGTAGGGTGTGGAGATGATGGTACCCCTAAGTTTTATTATCAAGTTTAAGCCTACAAACCTTGTAGTCATTAATATATTTTTTTTTTTTATCAAATAAAGTTGTCATTTTTTGGTGACGTCACACTCAGAATTTGGGTAACATAATAATAATGCACACGTCATTTCTAAGATTTCGTCACCTTTTTCTCCGTATAAAAAGCTTATAACCTTCCTGCAATGCTTTCCTGCTCACTGGTGTACAGTAGGCTACACACACAACAGCCGTATTGTTAGAATTGCCAAATATTTAGTAAATGGCCGTATTTTCTTTGCAAATGAATTGTTACTGTTACGTAGCCGTTTTCAGAAGACACATGGCCGTCATTGACGAGATCCGTTGACAGGATCACTGCTGCTGCTCCTCCTGCAGATACTATAGGGATCATGAAAATCATCTTTCACGTTTATTTTAAATACGAAGTTCAGAGAACCAAAGAGGTGCATCCAATTTGTAGCCCTAGTAACAGTAACTAATTTCAACGTATTTAATACGAGGTATCTTAAGCACTATTTACTTGAAGGCCCAAGAGATCGATATCATGCGGTACACAGCCTGGGTTCCATGCCATAATTTTGGGTTACTCACCCTTCATTGCGTTTAGTGTGCGCCATACCTTATGTATTTGGCGTTCCATACTCGATTTCTTTTTATATTCAACTTATGTCTCCAAATGAGCTTCTTGCTCATTGATGGCGCTGTCCAGAATATAAGGGATTTGTTACAAACCTAGATACACTATAAACAAACGTTGATAAATTAAAAAGTACAGAATTTAGACGGTTTGCGCAGCGAATGCCGTGTAGACCGTGGCATAAGTAATAGTCCAGTTTTTAATCTTTCTTTTTTTTTGTAATGATATTATGGCCGTGAATGTTTTTTTTTTCCATTTTCTACTTTTTTTAATGATTGTCCTCACATCGGATCTTTTATAATGTTTTTACAATGATTCTTAATATCTATTTAACACTGAATAATTTAACGTATTTTATGTATTTCGTGTTTTACTTAATATTTTATTATACTGTATTTTAAATTGTACTAGGCAATGTATGTATTTAAAAAAATTATTTTAATATACATTTGTATTTTATGGACAAGTCAATATATGAATCTTGAATCATGAATCTATTCAGTATTTGATCTTTAGGAATTAAAAGTGAATGAACGGAAATGGAATTTTGTCCTATTTTTTAATGGTGTAGACCAGCACCGACACACTTTGTAATAATTGAACTGTCAAGTTGGACCCCTTCTGGACTTTGACCTGACACCCATCAATCCCACTAGATCTAGGGGTGGGGTCTAGTGAGATTGGAGTCATCCCATC